CAGCCTTTGAAGCGAATTGCTTACCCTTGGTCGCCCTCGTGACTTTGGGTGTGGATTTGAATGTGTTTTCTAGTGTTTTTTCGTCGGTCAAGGCGGCGACTGCTTTCTTTTGTGGTGACATTCTCTTCGTGTGCCCAGATTTGGATGTAGTGGGGGTTCTCGTCCTCATGATTCACGACCTCGAAGAAACCCTAACAGTATCAAACGAAAGAGATAGCAGAGTTCGATTGATTCACGACCTCGAAGAAACCCTAACAGTATCAAACGAAAGAGATAGCAGAGTTCGATAGAGTTCGATAGAGAGATTGATCGAACTTGAAATTCAGGCTGAGACTTCACGGGACTTAAAGTCTCGTAAAGTTCTAAGCTTCAGCTTGGGCAAAATTAACCAGATCGATTAACAAACGCTTAATGTTCACAGGGGGTACTTAAACTTCACGCTACTCAAAGTTCCGTGATGTTTCGTAATGTTTTTCTCCAAATTCAACTCAGTTTCAGCCAATTGGCTAAAACTGAGTCGAATTTGATAATTAAGGTGGAAACAAGTCAATTTTTGTAATTAAATTTTTAAATAGGTCGAATTTGAAAATTTGTCCAACAATTTAAAGGGGCGTTGTATATGCACTCTTGTTGCATGTGGTTGTACCACTTGTATCCTAAACTATTTCATTAATACTTACATATTTTGAAGTCTAGACAGTATTATGTACCCTACTATTCTGTTAGAAGTGAAAGAAAATTATTTGTCTCTAGATTAAATTTTAAAAAAAACTACTATCATCTAAATAGATAGAAAGCAACTAAAATAAGACAGCCAATGCGAGGCTAAAAACATGTAGGAAATTAACCAGCTCACCTTAGCTATAACAGAAAGTACCGGCGAAACTTCAAAAAAAAAAAAAAAAAAAAAAAAAAAAACACTGAAATTTTATCATTTAAACAACAAAATCCAACATACCTCACAACGTGTAGTAGTACATATAATCCAAGTTCACTATTTTTATTTATACTACCCAAAAGTCTCAAAACTACTTTAAATTAAGTTTGCCACTTAAAACTAGCCAAAAGTCCCAAAACCCACAAAATACCACCTTCAGAAATTATATTACCTGCACTGCTTAATTACTAATAAATCACCTAACACTATACTTAAACCAAGCATTTTTGTACATAATTAAACTCTCCTACTCCAAGAGCTCATCCACCCACTCAAGGTCTGGCTCCACAATCCCGCCAGCACCACCCCTTGATCCCATCACCGTCGGTGAAATCTCCAACCCTTCCAACCTCCTAACCATCTCCCCGAACACCTTCTCCCTCCCCCTCACCACCGAGGGGGACACCGCTGGCCCCACCAACGTCGACGTGGGCGACAGAAACATCGATGAAGGCGAAGTTGCCTCCGTGGACCCCGAAACCCTCAACTGCTTCCTGGTGTTGCGCGAAGAAACACACTTTTCGCGCTACACACCTTCCCATCCCTACACGGGGTGGTTGGTACCTGCGTGCGGGGGGTGGGTCAGCGCAGGAGCCTCGATGAGACCGCCGCGTGACCGAACACCGTGCCGCATGTCTGCCACGTGGGCAGTCCTCATCGCTGATTTGTAGTCGGGGCGACAGTGACGAGGTAAGCTGTACTTGGCGTGGTCCCATACGGCGGCCTTTCGCCGGGGGTGGGCGAAGGGCAGTCGGTCCAGTCGGGGCTGAGGGCCCGGGTGCAAGCGGCGACTTTGAAGTCGTACATGCGGAAATCGGTGGTCGAGTAGAGGTCGGCTATAAATCGCTTGAATCATCGTCGTCGCCAGCCGGAGAGAGGCTGGTCGTTTGGGGATTGGGGATTTGAGCGAGAGGTTGGGGAGGATGGACTTGAGTTTGCGAGGGGGCAGATATGGGATTTTTGGCTCCATGATTAATTTGTTTAGTTGGGAGGGGGTCGATGATGACAGGGTTTGCTTGCTTATATAATAAGGGATGAGTGCGGTGACGTGGAGATTAGAGATTTTGAGGGGGATCCATGCAAAATGTGTAGGTGTCAACCGCGGGGGTCAAGGTTAACTCTCTTGTGTTGGATTTTAATGATATGATGACTGTGTGGGGTTTGGGAGCTTGCGCAGTTTTGGTTGCGTGTTCAAAGAATGCGAGGCGGGTGGGCGGGTCGATAGTGCGGCGTGGGTGTCGTACCCGCGACGTACAGATGGCGCGAGGAATCGGAGACGGGCAGGGCACTTGGCGAGATGTTCCGCAGTGGGGAAAGGGTGGATGATTCTGCTGCTGCCTTGATGGTCGTGTACTCGGAAAGCCCAGCAGGCAGCAGGAAAACATTTGACGGTGCTGAGTCCTGTTTTATGCACGTTAATGTGCTTTGATAAATAGTTAATGATTACATAATTATCGTTAGCAACGAAAATATATAGAGGGCAGGCACGAAATTTGACGCTCTGTACAGTGAGTTTTCAAGGGAATCGTATTTAATACATAAATATAAGTTGCAAATAATAACCAATATCGTCACTCTCTACAGTGCCGACATATTTTGCTAAGAATCGCATCTATTAACAGTTCTAAGTTACAAATAACCAATCAATCTTTAGAATCGATTGCATTTCTATCAGTACACTCTTAATTTATGCTTCACATCACTTCTAAAACTTTTCATACAGATGCGATTTATTTTTAATCAGACTCTACGTTGACCGGCTGAATAGTATAGTAAGCCGCTTTAGTTTGATCTAAATTGCAATAATATTTGTTAAACTACCATAATGTTGGTTAAAATGCTAAACGTAGGTGCCAAATATCGAATCTGAATTTAGAAATAAATTAGATTGGACGTTTTGGGTGTAAAAATGAATTTGGAAGCGAATGAGTTCAGGAAAAATCACACTGAATTATTTATGCTGAAATCATAAACTTCCAATTTTATATCACCCAATAGACATGAGGTCATAGAAGCGGAGAAAATCAATTTACACAAGCAATAAAAACTGAGTTATTTTTACAAGTTCATCAACACTCTAAAGTTAATATTATACACACATCAAACCAATATGAGCATCTCGGAATTATTAGAAAATAATCGCTTCAAAGCATGCTACAAACCTCAGCTGATGTTGTTAAGCAACGAATTTAACCACAATACAGGAGATATCGTCTTTGCTCTTCCTGGCAACAGCCTCTTCGGTTAGACGCTTCGCCGCTGCCTGCGGTTCCTTTACATCTTTGATACAGTCCACTGCCTCTTGGTTCGACATTACCTGAAGTATAAACAAAACGCCTTAGTAAAAATGATCGGACGAAACTTGATCGAGGACTGTCTTATGCAAATCATTGTCTCTTTGTTGATACGTGATATATCAAGCAGGAGCAGATCCAAGGGGTGCCCAGGGTGGGCAGTTGCATCCCTGGAGAAGTTAGTTTTATAGATCACATCGAGAGCTTTCCGAAAACATATTATAATAGTGCTTTCGATAACTGAGTTAAAAGTTATGACCCGTGCAAATTTCAGCATTCGTGTATGTTTCCAGTCTGCTGCTAATTATTTTGACCTTATCTCGTTAAAACATTTATATCATAGGCTATATATCTCCAAATTGAGTTCCACTTGTCTGTAAGTAGATTCTTGTAATCCGCCCCCTTAAGAATTTTTTTCTATATCAAGTAGGGTTAATACACACCCTTTGTACTATAAGGGCATAGCAACTTACAGCCCATAAAATATTTTGCTAACACTTACACCCCTCAATTCCTGACAACACAATATTCCGAAGTTTAAGTTGAGATGTCATAAGAGAATGACATGATCATAGTTAACTTTGCCCTCAGTGGAAGCGGACTAAATCACCAACTAACATTGCTTGGGATTCAAGAGCGCAAGGGCAATTAATAGAGTTTAGGGAATATGAGCCGCTAAACCACTATAATACGGGATCAAGTATGTTCTCTCATGCATAGTGCAAAAGAAGTACCTTCCACAGCCCATCACTTGCTAGAATGAAGAAGTCCGAGTCAGAGTCGATTGTTTCCACGGCCACATGTGGATCAGAGCTAAGGTGTGCTTTTAGGCTCCGATCTCCAAATGCCCTCGCCACTGCCAGCTGGCCATCTACACGCGGAACGTCCCCTGGATCATAAATATGTTACAAACTTGGTTCAGTGTGATTCAACTTTATCTCAAAAAATAATTTGTATCTTGCTACATTGCTTATAATGATATGTAAGACATGTTCTATTCAATCAATGTATAGACACTGCATATTATAGTAATTAGTAAGGGTTGGACGGCCTTTCCACATGCTAACTTACAGGCATGTACAGAAATGTATAACTATATGATGAAGTTTACAAGAATCTATGGGCTCAACTGCGTACATTTTCTATAAGTCTCATAACTTTCTATATTTAGATTATTTTGAGATAAGTAATTGCTTTCTTTGACCAAGGTTTTAAATGTCGGATGTCGGGTTCATGTCGGATGGCTGAAATCCATATCGGATAGCGGAAATCGGGGATATATCGAGGGACATTGACTAAATATCGGATTGCCATATCGGGTAGTGCGCATATGTATAATATCATGTCCTAAATGTAATCTAAGCATTCATAAATTTAATATAAACATACTTTATAAATTCTATAGACTAAACATATAAAAAAATAAATAATATATGGATTTGGGTTCATAAATTCTTTCTATCGGGTTCATAAGAAACCCTTAAACTTGAGAACGGGTCAAACGGGTTTGGGTATTTATCACTAAACACAAACCTGATAACAAAAAACAGATCTTAAAAAAAAACCATATCGACCGATTTTTCAAAGCTAAAAAATAGACCGATATGCCCGATATGACCCTGATATTTTCGATTTGGCCCTGAAAACCGACATACGAGTTGAAAACGTCCATATCGTGTCGGTCAAGCCCTCAAACCGATATGTCGGCCGACATGTCGGCCGACATTTAAAACCTTGTCTTTGACATGTCAAAGATAATACTCCAATGGAAAAGAACCGTCAAAATACTAACGTGTATAAAAATATAATAAATTTAGATACATTTCAATATAAGAAGAGATACAGTGAACAAAAGTCAAAAGAGCCAAGCCTATTTCTTCTAGAAAATTAAAAAACTATGCAATGGGTAACAGTTTATTTCCATACAAGTACCGAGTTATTGTATTTGTTAGAATATAAAACTATCTCTCAACCCTCCCTACAACTTCGGAGTTTTGGTGAATGGTTACAGACTTTGACATGCTATCAGAGCAACCAAGGTTCAAATTCCACAGGCCATGAATTTAAAATGGATTTCCTAAAATTTGACACTGCCGAGTGAGTTCATTTTTCAGCCCATAAAAAGGGGCGGTGTCACATTAGAATACAAAACTATTAACCCTCAATCTTCACTACCACTTTGGAGTTTTCGTATAATGGTTAAGAGGGATTTTAAGAGTATTATTAGTATCTGCGCTTCTGGATGCATTGACTTGTCTTGTATGTCTATATATATTCCAACTCCATGTCATCCTATCCACCTATCCTACCTTTTTAAGCAATTACCTAGTCATGTGTACATGTTTACATGGTGTATGTCCTATGCTTATGTCCATGTTTCTTAGCAGATGGTGACTATTGTTCAGTAATTGTGTTGTTTTTAATCATAGTTTAATATAATGGCGCACATCAACACTTCAGGAATACTAAAGATTTGCTAAGGGTCTGCTTGGGTTTGAAATTACTAAATTCTAATTATTCTAAAGTCAATATCATTGGTTTCAAAACTTTAGTTTGTGAATCTGTAATTATAGCTTCCCACACAGTACTTAACTATCGTACTTTGGATATAAAGGAGTTGTCCCCCAACAGGATGCGGAATCGAAGTGGGGAAATAAAAGATTTTGCCGATGAGGGAAGAGGAGATATGAATATGAAGAGTAAAGTAGGGAGTGTTTCTTATTCCTAGCAATTTTTGGAGTTAAGAAAAATCAAATATGACTGGACTTCTGTAAACTGCAACACAAAGTTGAGGCTAGATATTGACAGTTTACTTAGCTTAGATCTTGAACTGAAATAAACTCAGAACTACAGTTAAACTCAACTTAATAGTGAGGTCAAGTGATCAGGCATCAATCTTAGATTTTGACTGACTAAAAACCTACCTTAACAAGCTCATTTGAATTTCAGGACAATCCTGTACGTGGTTGTGATTGATTTGCATACAAACCACCACCCTGCTACAAATAAAATGATTTGTGCACAGCCCTACCAAACTATATCACCAGTGTGATAGATGTATTAAATTCTGAAAAAGTCACTTGTTCTTAGGCTATCTAAGTTGGAGTTTCAAAAGGTCTCTAATAATTAATAAATTCCCTTAAGTGGCATGAAGGGGAAACATTTTAGATTCCTGTGAATCAACATCTAGTAATCAAATTCACTATGCTACATTGATCTATATTACATAAGAAGACTAAAGGAAGCTAATTACCTGGAAGATTAGACACAAAACCCCCCTTCTTTTCAATTAAAGGCCTCTCCATGCTAGGTTCATGATCAACTGAAAGTTGTTTAGCTACGCCGTTCTTAGATATCACTGCTCTCGAGTCTCCAACATTAGCAACTACAAGCTTCGACCCATCTATTAATATCGCTGTAACTGCAGTAGAACCTCCTCTTCCCAATTCAACTGCTTTCTCCAAAATTTTAGCGTCAGTTAACTTATATGCTTTCCTGATAGCACCCTCTGTGTCAGTCAAGAAATCAGGCTGTTGCACCATAAAAATATACTAATTGTTAACTGAAAATGTGTCCATCATTCAGCATAATGTAATATAAATTTCTCAATAACGTAGCAAAAACATGCTAAGAAACTAGGGGAAGAATCTAACCACATATACCAGTAAAAAAACATGATTAAATTAAGGGTTAATTGTGGATAGACCCCCTCTAGTGTCACCCAATGGTAGACCCCCCTGTAGTTCTATTGATGAAGATAGACCCTGAGTGAACTTTTCTGACCCTACCCTCAGAGAAAGATGAAATCATTTTATGACAGATGGACTTCTTGAGGGTAAAAGAATAAAGCAATCACTCAAGAGGTCTATCCTCAATTGGGCGATAGTACTATCTGGGACATTAGAACCACAAAGGGCCTATCCGCAATTGGATGACAGTACAAGTGGTCTATCTGCAACATTAGAACTATAAGGGGTCTCTCTGCAATTGGGCGGTAGTACATGTGGTCTATCTGCAATTAGCCCTTAAAATTTAGACCAACAACAGCAGAATGAAAGAAAACTAAAATCAGTCTTCACCTCTTTCAGGATGTTGTTGAAAAGATGGGATTGCAAGTAATCTGGAACATCATGGCCCAAGTGACCATCAAATATCGCAAATAAACCCAGTTCAGAGTCATCTACTTTTTTAAATTGTGCCACGAGATAATCCTCCATTGGATGACTTGATTTCCCCTTCACTAAGTGGTAGCCATGTTTGACTTTTATGCCTGACATCTTGGCCTTGCCCTTTCCAGTTTCTGATGAAGATGGGCCGAGACCAGCTTTGACCTGTATGAATTACATAAAAGTTTTAATATTTTTTATCAAAATGATTGAAGCTTTATCCTCTTAGAGCTAAGAACCATGTGTGTAGCCATGGTAATGTTAAATGATTCTCAATCAAGAGTGGCACATATAGCTCAGCATATGCTTGATAACAAGTGAACTAGAAAATACATACATTTCTCACATAGATACGCTGAAAAAACATAACAGTCAAGGAAGAATACAACATTATACCAAACTTTTGAGTATAATAAGATCTATACCACCAAGATTTAGTGCTAACTGGTTATAACCAACAGTGAAATCTCAGAGGCTGAATGGCAAAAGTATAAGGACTTTATTTGATATATCCCTTCAAAAGTATAGTAAATGGTAGGCATAAGGCTATATTCATACTTTCCAAATTGATCGGATAAAAATAACTGGGAGATCCAGGTAAGTATATAAATCAGGTAGAAAACCGCATACAACTTAAAAGCACATAAAGAAAAGGAAAAAGTTACCTACAAAAAGCAGATGTTGAAGGACATGGATACCCATTTAGGTCAAAGCTCAGACACAATGTTAAAAAATCAACATCACTAAATGAGAGGCATCAAAATAACATTTTCACTTGATACTTCTGTGCTCCAAATTGAAGCCATTTGACCGATACAGGATCCAGGAAATGAATCTAGGGTATGCAAGTCGTTCACCATATATATATCACAATTAATTTGTCATCAGTTCTCGCAAGATAGATTAATCCAGAGAGCTCAAACATATTGCACATTTCATTAGTCAAAACTCATTTCTTCAAGCATGACCAATATATCTTGATGCTTCACATTCATTGTTGCATATAACCATTTTCATTATCATGAACCTTGACTTTGCTTTTCCTGAAAGCACAGTTCATGCTACCATCTGACGCTTCAGGAATTAAACTTCCCTAACATGATTGAATCCTTGGACTACGGACATACGCTGACCATATTAAGCGTGCCCGTACTCAGAATTATCTCAAGAGGCAAATTTACTCTGATTTTTTTTATATACCGCTTTAAGTAAACTAACTAGGAAATCAAAGTTCCCCGGTTCATAAAACCTGGAGAAAGAACAAGTTTTTGGTCTAATTCCTCACCATTGCACAAACAAATATCTAATAAAACCTTCTTTCTATTAACAAAGCAACTAAAGAATCAGTCTACCATTCGAAATCTAAATCAATTTCACATAACCATCGATTATTACAAAGAAAAGTCAACTAATACTTCACTACCAACTGCAATATACTCAAAACATTCAGATACTGAACTAGGGCTCAACCAAACTTCCAACACCTTGCACAGAAATAACACAAAAGAGTGGGAATAAGACAAGGAGCCATAAAACTCAACACCCACATCCAAAATCAACCCACAACCCAAAAACTAAGCAAACCCAACATGACAAATGCTCAATACAACCTACGGCTTATGCAAAAGATCTCTCAAATGGGCAAAGAGATTGGGGAGGAATACTCACCATCACCTTGTTCAAGATCTCTCTTCCAGTCATTTCTGAACCCAAAATCCAAAAATTTTAGAGCCTTGACTCGTGAAATTGGATTTTTTTTTTCTATTTGAAGAGATATTATTTAACTGAACAGTGGGCGGTGGCCGCTTTTTCTGAACGCGGGGCGCACGTTAGCGGGGTCACAAGTGCGGACAATTTGCCCGCTGCTTTATCATTTTTTTTTCTCGGTCTTTTCGATATGTTTACATTGTTTGATCGAGTCTCCGATTTTATTAAAGAGCGGGAGACTTTTCAGGAGATGGGCCCTACTAACCGTGTCTTTTTCATATCCATATAGTTTCTTGAGAAAGCATTGAAACTTTTGTGACTAACTCCAAGAAAACTACTGCTTAAAATTTTATATGTTTGTTTGTGAAAATAATTTAATTAAAGGAAGATGAGAATTGTACGGAGATCTGAACTCGTAAACGTCTATAATCCACCTCCCCATTTGAGTTATAAATTATGGGCACAATATTTCTTAAAAATCTAGTTTTAATTTGTTACTTTTTATTTGTACATCGATTCAATTAATTAAACTTTATATGGAACCCTTAAAAAAATATGCACATAAGGTCCTTGGCTTTTTGGTATTTAAACATGATATTATATTTTATTAAAAGAAATTTCTCTTTCTCTTTTATATATTTTGTAATCGAGTATAGACTCTATCTATGTTTACGGCAAAATATTGATTTTGTGTTTTCTAGTGTTTTTTTGTCGGTCAAGGTGGCGACTGCTTTCTTTTGTGGTGACATTCTCTTCGTGTGCCCAGATTTGGATGTAGTGGGGGTTCTCGTCCTCATGATTCACGACCTCGAAGAAACCCTAACAGTATCAAACGAAAGAGATAGCAGAGTTCGATAGAGAGATTGATCGAACTTGAAATTCAGACTGAGACTTCACGGGACTTAAAGTCTCGTGAAGTTCTAAGCTTCAGCTTGGGCAAAATTAACCAAATCGATTAAGAAACGCTTAATGTTCACAGGGGGTACTTAAACTTCACGGTACTCAAAGTTCCGTGAAGTCCATCCATATATCTTAGAGTATAGATTCTTTATCCTCTATGATTTTGTGTGAATAATTGTTTTCATAAATTATGCTGAACTTCTAATAAAATTAACATTTTGGAGAATTTTTTTGGGACTTCAAGTGGATTGGACAAAATTATTACAGGTTTTGCAAGTGGATCTTGTAGGATCTATAATCCATTGCTACTCAAACTTCATATGGGTATGACTATATACTAAAGAAATTATTTGTTATCATGCATGCTTAACACCATAAGTAAAACTTACACAAGACGGCTGACATCTTCCCAGGGTTGCTTCATATTTTGCAGAAGATGCTATACTCCCAAACAAAAACTGATGATAAATATGCCATCACATTGTAGAATTGAATACACAAGATTCTCTTACAAAATTTCATTAATACAAGATGTTAACCTGGTTGTGCTGTGCGAGATGCAAGATTTGGAGCTAACAGACCGGTTCAAGCAAGTCTTGAACAATTATACAGAACTTATCATCTTAAGAATTTGCGCGCTGGCGCCTCCCTCCTCTTTGTTTCACTCTCGATATTGGCGACTTCGCTTTGGTTAGATCCTTCGCTGACCTACATAAATTATCGCCTCTAATATCAAGACTCCATTCAATCGATTAAAATTGATCCAGACATAAAGATGCTCACCTCTGAGGAAGGAATGGATTATCAAACTTCGGCAAAGGTCTTGCATGAGGCACCATCTCGCGTCTCATTTGCTTAATTTCATTCTCTTCTTCAATCTGAAAATAATTTCACAAAGAAAAAAATTGTTACCTATGCACGAGCGTAATTGATGTACGTTGACCTTGTCATTTCTTTTATTTTCACTTAGATAAACAAATGAATATACCAACTTTGAAGTCTCTTGCTCCTCCCTCAGTCTTTTGTACATCACTTCTTTTTCCTTTATCTGGAAAACGATATCCATTGGATTGAGATATGACCATCAGAGAGAGGATGCTACACGATGGTATGTCAATTTGAAAGTATGTTGAATAGTATTCGCAGAAGCAACAACGTTAAATGCTTTAATCTGAGCAAGGGACAAAAACAAGGACAATCCACTGGCACAGTCAACTCTAAGATATATGGATGGACCCAAAAAGTAGTTTAATAGATAATTCAAGTGGATAATTCAATAGATTGCACAAGTCTGATAGAGACTATGCGCTAAAGATTCATGAATAAATTAAAGACTGATAGGCACTACTTGCTGAATATTCATGAATCATTCAGATTTAACTCCAAAGAAACTCGAAGTCTTTTTACCTTCTTATCGAACTCACTTCTCTCCTGTGCTCTATGATTCACGTGAAGCACAAACTCTTCGACATCAGTGAGAGGCTTCCTTTCTCTTTCTGGAAGTGGAATAGGATCCCTATGGACAGAGTTAAAACAGACATTCAGGATTTGTAGTTCCTCAGTTTTTAATAAATACAACTCAACAGTAACTGAACCTACTCTTCTCTCAATATTGGCTGAGCTTTGAACAATCTTTTCTGCGCCCCTTCTCTCTCCATCCTTTCCCTCTCTTCCATTTGTCTCTTCGTGTCCTCTTCATGTCGCATCAAACTCTCCATCCTTTGAACAATCCTTCAGGCCTCGTGCACTGTTTTGGTTCAGGCTTGGGTGGCATCTAAGACAAGGGAAAATGATCACTAATGTAAGAAAAAGTTCAACGAGAAATACAAAAAAAAGTACTAGCGAGGCTTTTTCTTTACCGTTGGATAGTCTGTCGTGTAAGGATAAGGGTTTGCCTCGGGAATTCTAGCCTTCTCCTCCTCCAATTGTTTCTGCAGAAGCTGAACACTGAACTGTCTCTCTTTCTCAAAACCTCTATCCTGAAAGAACCAGGGAAAATGACGTCCGTGTGCGAACAACAGCAATGGCACAAGCTTATATAAGATTGCATACCTAGTATGAAGATGAAATGGATTTGGGATAGTAATTCTGTTGGCGCATGTTGTTAAATCTGGAATAATACAAATATATAACAGCAAAAACTGAACAGAAAACTAAAGTGCGGTAATTTAAAATTTTCCAACTCAGCTGCTGTGCGTTTGTAAAACGCTGTGCTTAAAGCATTATTTGGCCTACTCCGGTGCAAGGATCCCAAGGCCAAATTGCTTCTAGGAACAGCAGTCTAGTACTCTGGTGTGCACCAACCCAGTACTGTCAAGATTTCCTCGATTTATAAGGCAAAGATCTCCTCGATCTATAAGGCAAAGATCTCCTCGATCTATAAGACTTTCTTGGTCTAGGCACTGTTCCTACGAGCACTAGCTATTCTACAACATATATATCTTGTATATATTGAATGTTGTTTTTTGGAATTAATTTTCCTTAAGGATTTGGGGTCTATTTATAACGTTTGGGAAAATACTATGCACTAATAAAATAATATTATTTACTATACATGTGGGACCCATGTCTAATTTTTTCTTCGGTGGGGCTCACAACTTTATTTTTTTTTCAACAAAAATTTGGCACCGTTTGTCATCTTGCATTTTCTTTCACTTTTTAAAAGTTAAACTCTTTAGATTAAAAAATTAATTTCCAACAATCCCCCATAAGTTTTTTAAACTAATATCGTGTGGGTGTCGTTGTTTTAATCGTTGTGCATAAAATAGATATCGTAAGGACTTGAATCCCCCTTAGACCAACTAAATAAAATATAGATGCATAGTGTCGTAGAGACTTGAACCAACACATATCTAAAAATTCAGCGGTCACACAAGATCAAACTTATCTGTAGTAGTTTTTACTTTGAACCGCACTTGTCTTTGCCTTTGTTTTGTCTTTGCCTTTGTTTTGTCTTTGCCTTTGCCTTTGCACATTATGGCCCTGTGCATGTTTTCTGTTAAAGCTCTAGGTATCTTTTCACAAGACACCATAGGAGACGGCCAAATCTTCACCCATGCATAGGTGAGTTCTTTAGGCATGTTTCCTATCAAACACCCCGCATCCGAAATGCTTTGAACTCATTAAGACTTAAGAGTCATCCTCTCTCATGATAGGATTCTAGGTAAAAAGATCAAAGTTTTACTCGGGTAGTTCAGCCATGTAAGGATAATACTAGAGTGAGATTAAATATCAATTAAGTACCTCGTTCCTTACGGAACGCGTTACGCAACCCCCAAATCTTACCTTAGATACCGACTAATCCAAGAAAACTTGAACCCCTCTTAGAATTTACTTGTAAATCTTACTTGACTTTTGAACCATTTATCTTGTTATTAGTAGCATAAACTTTGAACTAATAACTAGATGTAATTAGTAAGTATTTATAAGACTCACCAAACTTTATAAATCTTACTTGACTTTTGAACCAAATATCTTATCATTAGTAGTATAAGCTTTGAACTAAAAACTTAATATAAAATGGTAAGTATTTGTAAGACTTACAAAACTTTGAGATCTATTCCAACAGACGTCCTTTCGACTATGTCTTTTTTTAGATCTTTAGTCAAAGGATCAACAACATTCTCTGAAGACCGGACGTCAATCACAGATATGACTCATTGACAAATGAGCTCTCTCAAATAGCCATGCTTCAGACAAATGGTCCGCTTATTTCCATTGAACATCGAGTTAGCTGTCAGTGCACTCGCCACATGATTATCATAATAGATAGTAATTATGCCTTACAATTCTATCAATGAAAGGTCTCGGAGAAAACAACTAAGCCATTCAGCTTCATCTCCTGCATCATAGAGTGCGAAAAACTCAGATTCCATCGATGACTATACAATCATAGTCTGCTTCTTAGACTTCCACGAGACGGCAGCTCCACCCATAGTGAAGACAAATCCTCTAGTAGATCTACACTCATCTGGTTCTGAGCACCAGCTCGCATCTAAATAGCCTTTGATTACAGCCAGATATCCAGTGTAGAATAGGCCCATATCTGTAGTTCCTTTCAAATATCTCATAAATCTCTGGACAACATCCCAATAAAACTTTCCAGGATTACTTGTGAACCTACTAAGCATTCCTACAGCGAATGCAATGTCTAACCTTGTGTAGCTCATCGCGTACATGAGACTCCCAATGATCTTTGAATACCTCAGCTACTCTACTGGTCTTTCAGTATTTGGTCAAAGCTTCTTGTTGTAATCGTATGTCATTGATAGTTCTGACAAGTCATTGTAGCCATACTTCTTTAGCATGCTCTTGACATAATGAGATTGAGACAATCCAATACCCTCTTCAGAGTATATGATTTTGATTATGAGAATCACGTCCGTAGTTCCAAGGTCCTTCATGCTGAACTGTACTGAAAAAATTTCTTGGTAGATATATTACTATCTTCAAATCACTCCTAATGATGAGCATATCATTCACATAGAGGCAAATGACTACCACCTTTCCTTTAGCGACCTTGATGTATAGGCACTTGTCAGATTCACTGACTTGATACCCATTGTTGCGAACAACCCCATCGAACTTCTCATGCTAAAGTTTTGGTGCCTACTTAAGTCTATATAAAGACTTAACAAGTTTATAAACCTTATCAGCTGGAGCATCAAGTCCTTTTGGTTTCTCCATGTAGATCTCTTCTGTAAGATCTCCATTGAGAAAGGCAATCTTTACATCTATCTGATGTATGACGAACCTTTTAATCGCCGCCCATGTGATAATCACTCTGATGGTAGTGATCTTACAAACTGGTGCATAGATATTAACAAAATTTATACCTTCTTTCTGAGAGAATCCTTTCGCCACTAGTATTGCTTTGTACTTTCTAACAGTACCATCAGGACGAAGCTTCTTCTTGAAGATCCACTTGTAACTAATAGGCCTTACACTTTTAGGTACATCCACCAGCTCCCAAGTATGATTTTGGATCAATAAATCCATCTCATCATCTATAACTTCTTTCCACAGAAGAATGTTTGTTGATTGCATTGCTTCTTGAAAATCTGTGGATCTCTTTCCACATTATAGGTAATGAAGTCATCTCCAAAATCTTTATATCTCCTGATACGTTTGGAAGATGGTTCGATAACTCCGTCATTATTAACACTTTCAGTTTCTCACGAACCTAGCTCCTCTTGTATATCTGACATACTAACATCCTCTGTTATATCTTTGAGCAGTAAATAAGCATTTATCTTTGATAAACTTATCCTCAAAGAATTATGCATCCCGAGCTTCAACGATGGAGTTGGTTCCAAGGTCTAGGAACCTACACGCATTGCTATCTCCAGCAAAGCTAAGAAACACATATTTGTTTGCCTTTGGCCCGAGCTTAGGCCTTCTGATATCTGGAATTCGAACGTATACGAGATACCCTCACATTTTGAGATTATCCAAAGGATCTGGATATCCCAACCATAACTGATGAGGAGCACTATCAGTTTTGAAGTATGGTACTCTGTTTAGAATCCAGTTTGTCATCAGCAAAGCCTCTCTCCTAGCAGGTAGGAAGACCAGATGTGATTAGCATCGAATTCACCATCTCGGTCAATGTGTGATTCTTTCTTTCTACAATCCCATTAGATTGCGGAGAATACGGAATAGTAGTTTCAGTAATGATTCCATGCTCCTTGAAGTATGCTTCTGACTCCTTAGATCAGTACTCTCCTCCTATGTCGCTCATGAGTTTTTTCACCTACAGTCTAAGCTGCTTTTCCACTCGAGTTCGAAACTCGACAAACTTGCTGAAGGCTTCATCTTTAGATTTTAACAGGTAAACATGACAGAAACGAGAATGGTCGTCAATGAATATGATGAAGTACTTCTTGTCGCCATGAATGACGAAGCTCTTGAAGTCACAAGTATATGAATGAATCAGATCCAATAGGTTGGTGATCCTCATGATACTTGAAAATGACTTCCTCGTCAGCTTTACTTGCGCGCAAACTTCACACTTTTTAGGTTTGTTACCCCCATATTTTGGAAGTAATCCTTACTTCTCCATGCTAGATAGTTTTCTATAATTTACATGTCCTAGCCTATTTTACCATAATACAGTGGAGTAAGCAGAATAGGATACTTTATTTATAACCAAGTTAGGTGTAATAGTACTGATCTTATAAATGCCATCAGTATGATATGTATTGTCAAAATATATTTTCTTAAAAGATAATACAACCTTACCTCCTTGGAAATCCAGCCTCATACTTGTATCACATAGTAGGCTTCCAGAGACTAAGTTTTTTACAATTGAGGGAACATGTTTTATATCCTTTAATGTGAGAGTCTTCCCTGAAGAGAGAGTTAGCACCACAGTCCTAGTTCTAAAAACAGGAACCACAGAACGATCAGCCATTGATACGTTCTCTTTGGCAACAACATAAGAAGAGAATAGATCTCTGTTGGAGCAGACATGACAAGTAGTACCTGTATCTAACCACCACCAGAGATTTTGTTAGGAGTCATTACCTAGAAGAGCATAGCCACACAATCATCAACTTGATTGACATTGTGTGTAGTTTCTTTCTTTGGTGCTTTGCAGTCCTTGGCAAAATATTATTGTTTCCCACAATTGAAGCATTTGCCACTCTTCTTGAACTCCTTCTTCTGAATGTTCAGGTTTTTTGGATTCTGGTTCTTTTTTTTGTTAAATAACTTCTACTTCTTGTTGAAAGATAAATTATTATCCTTTTCAAAGTTAGTAGTCACCATGTTAGTAGATGCCTTCTGCTTAGCAAGGAGCTCAGTCTTCGTGCGAGTCCGAGTCTCGTCCTCGATCTGAATGAACCTCTTCAAATCAGACAGAGTCACCTGTCTTTTTTTTCTTTAAATATTAGTGGAGAATGACATCCAAGATGAAGGAAGCTTGTTAAAAATTGTACCAAAGATGAATGTTTGACAAAGACTGATCTTTTCATCCTTCAGCTTCATAACAAGTTTTTCAAGCTCTTTAACTTGAGGCAAAACCTAAGTGTCATCTTCAAACTTTAAGTCCAGAAACTTATCAATGAGGTGAGATTTGGACAGCTTCTCATCATCCTTGTACTGATCCTCCAGAACATTCCAGATTTTCTTTGCAGAAGACTTGTTGGTGTAAGCATCTGCCAAATGATTGGCCAGACAGTTAAGAAGATAACTCCTGTATAAGTGATCATCTCTAGCCCAAGAGGCTTCAAATTCAGAATCTTCTTCAGAGTCAGGTTTCTCCTTAGAAACCATATAGTATATTTTTAGGAGTTGCATCCCGAAGATTACTTTCCAACGCCATGCGTTGAAGTTGGAACCGTCAAAGTTCTCTAACTTAAGATAGTCCACTCCAAGAGTCCTCGCAGGATCCATGGTAGATCAAAATAATGTTTTAAGATTGTTGGCATCTGTGGTTAAATCTAGAATAATGCAGATATATAACAGCAAAAACTGAACATAAAACCGAAGTGAAGTAATTTAAATTTTTTTAACTCAGCTGCTGTGCGTTTGTAAAACGTTGTGCTTAAAGTATTATTTGGCCTACTCCGGTGTAAGGATCCCAATGCTAAATTGCTTTCAGGAATAGCAGTCCAGTACTCTGGTGTGCACCGATCCAGTACTATCAAGTTCTCCTCGATCTATAAGGTAAAGATCTCCTCGATCTATCAGGCAAAGATCTCATCGATCTACCAGGCAAAGATCACCTCGATCTATAAGACAAAGATCTCCTCGGTCTATCAGTCAAAGATCTCCTCGATCTATAAGACCTTCTCAGTCTAGGCACTGTTCCTACGAGCACTAACTATTCTACAACATATATATCTGTATATATTGATTGTTGTTTTTTGGAATTAATTTTCCTTAAGGATTTGGGGTCTATTTATAGCGTTTGGGAAAACACTATGTACTAATAAAATAATATTATTTGCTATGCATGTGGGACCCACGTCCAAATTTTTCTTCGGTGGAGTCCACAACTTTATTTCTTTTTCAACAAAAATTTGGCACCGTTTGTCATCTTGCATTTTCTTTCAAGAATGGCTGCATGCTAGTTTTTTACTTTTCAAAAGTTAACCCTTTAGATTAAAAAATTAATTTCCAACAAATTCTTGGGATATCTTGATGCTCGTGTCGACAAGATGATTCAGAATGAAGTGAAAGCTAAAAAAGAAAAGAAGTTAACAAGAGCATAATGTATTTTGTCTCAAAGAAGAGAAGTTTTCAACTTTTACCTAATCAAACATTTCCATAACTGCCAATGGAGGACCAAGCCTCTCATCTGTGGCAAAATGGAACTCCTGAGGGGTTGTTATTTGAGCTTTTTTATTGCAAAACAATCCAAGGTCTCCTTTGCTCTCAAGAATCTGTAGAAGTTATGTGCAAACAAAATAAGCAATGATGAATGACGAAACCGATGCAATAAGTGCTACGCAATGTGACAAAAAGAAACACCTTCTTATTTAATGGCCTAGCCTTGAACTTAGGAAGCTTTTCGAGCTCCTCTATTTCTAGTTCCTGGAAACTTTTAATCCTGTGACAACACATTATGGTCAATAATATACCTAGCAAATATTAAGGAGCGCAATTTTGTATTAAACATAGGATGGTCATAGCATACTTTAGAGGTCGTGCTCGTAATGAGGTTTCAAGCTGAGGAGGTCTTGGTTCAGTTAATCTACATTGCAAATTGTGATTCTGTTCCACGCAAAGGAGAGTACATTTTCATATAGAAATAAATAATCTACTAGAGATAAAGTTCATATCATCAATGATTTCACCTGATCTTAAGTAGCATCTACTGAGGAGACTACAGATGATGTTTCCATGTGTTGGTATGCCCTCTCCGTAGTTTTTAGATGGAATTCCTGTTCATTTTGAGATGAGTGAATAAGCCTATTTTTTTTAAAAAAAAATTGGCCATCAATCAAAAATATGTTTGTTACCTTAAATTCAGGTGGCTTTGGAGAACTTCTGGGCAGAGAAGGAAGTGTAGGTGCCTCAAGTATCTATAGAGGGATTATAAACTTCAAGAACATGACTCAACATCTCCTAAAGTACAAAAACATAGAGAGAGAAAAAGCAGAACAAACTTTTTTGTTTAATGCCCGACCTCTAAACTTGGGAATCTTCGCCAACATCTCTTCCTCGAGCTCTGCAGAGCTCTTTATCCTCACTGCACGAACTCGTGCTGCTGTCTGAAACTCGGGTTCCTTTGGCCTTGTCAGTTTAAGTCTAGGCCTCATTTGCATCATTGAAGTTCTACTCTCCTGCAAACGAATAAGGGATAGAGCAAAAAGCTTGTCATGATTATATCAGAATCACTGGTTGCAAAGTTACTAGTTTGGAATCCTTGATGAAGACTTGTTATGCTGTCTGCAGTCCACCATAATAATGAAATTTGATTCAGATGTAGCTGACAAATTATTACATTTTTGCGGGAATGTGTTATTCAGTCTGTACTACTCACAAAATCCTCAAGGCAACCGGATTGACTGTCTCTCCAGAAAACAATGTCAACCATGACAGAGAAAAAAAAGGAAAAAAAAAAAGAACAAGCACCATTATTCCTATATTATTGCATCTGGTTGAGCACTTGAATCCACAAGTAGCTGGCCTTAGGGTTATCTTTGTACAGATTATCTAATAGACGATGAGATAATGATACTGATGACTTGTGTAGCGAGATCAAGGAAGCCTAGTGAGAGGAAATTTTCTTCCATATTATTCACCTTAACTTACAAAAGAAGCTAACACGTATGTGTTTCAATTCAATAACAAAGACAGGGACCTATTCCTTTTGTGACATTTATTGTTTCAGAGCTAAGAAGTTCATATCCATAATTTGTGTTAAGTGACAAGGAAAACTGATTCTTCACTGTAAAAGAAAATGAGAATGAAAAAAAAATCTCCCAATATCCAGTCACACATAACTGCTTTAATTAAAAGAGAACCTGTGACTTACATGTGAAGCTGCTTTATTTTGTGAGAGCTCTATGTCTCTGGTACTTGATTGGAACTTCTTAATCATTTCTGCAGTCGATATGTATGCTGCTTGCTCCTGTTCCAAAAGATATTACTGATCTATAAGAATGCTTCTACCCTACTAAAATACTGCAGATACGGTACATCTTTCTATTATAATTCACCTGGATATGATATAAACAAGGGTTTTTTATTTCTAAACCCATTTGTTTACTCATCTTTACCTCTAAGCCCAATAACTATTCTTTGTATTCTTAAACCCAAGTTTCTTTTTGTTTTTGCCTTTAAACCCAATTTCTAAAATACTGTATATACAACACTGGTATTCATACCCAAACATGATAAAAACCCTAAAATACCCTTCAATACCCCCACTTAAACCAGACCTCCTCTCTCTCTCCTCATTTTCCTTCTTCCTCAGGTCTTCGTCTTCCTCCTTCCTCAAGCCTCAAGGCTTTGTCTTCCTCCTCAGATCCCACCTCTCATGCCCCCTCCAAGAAATCGAAGAAGAAAGGAAGAAAGGCCCATGATTTTAGTGCTTGATGTCTTGAAAAGGCCCACGACGGATCTCGAGGCAGCCGGACACACCTCCACCCTCTCCAACGAGACACTACAATTCTTCAACGATCAACAAGATGCTTGATGATTTTGGCTTCGGGATCTCTTTCGATGACGAGGAGGAGTGATTTCGTGTGAAATCTCATTTCTATATACTCGATTAGGGTTAGGGTCGGGGTCGGGGTTGGGGGGTTAGGGTTAGTTCATTGATGTTCTTTTGTGCTATCCCTTTTTGTTGAACTAAATCTAATTATAGAATTGGTTTTATCAATTTATGAATGTATCGTTTCTGTTGAACTAAATCTAATTTGTACACAATAGATTTGCAAAGCAAGAGGTGTGAAATCTGGAGAATCTGGAATTTTGTACCTGTAAATTTTGCTTATAAAGAGTTGGAGAGTATGGAGCTTGCTTTGAAGATTGTGAAAGAGAAATTGCTGGGTAGAGTTAATGGAGTCAGTTATGCTATATGTACATTTTGAAGATTTGTGCAATTTTGAAGATTTGTAACATTTTGTAAAGTCTGGAGCTTGCCTTGAATATAATATCAGTTATATTATGTACATTTTGAAGATTTGTAACATTTTTGAAAGCCTGGAGCTTGCCTTGAATATATGATCAGTTATGCTATGTTTTTTGTGAATATTTGTAACATTTTAAAAAGTCTAGAGCTTGCCTTGAATATATGATTAGTTATGCTAAGTATATTTTGAAGATTTGTGTAATTTTGGAGTTTGATTTGTAACATATTGTTTCAGATTGTAAGTTTTTGAAAGTAGATAATGAAAGTGTTGTTAGTGCAATATCGTTATTGTTTGTGCAATTTTGGAGTTTGTAAGACTGGAATTTTGTGCAATTTTGTGAGTGCTATTTTGTGGAATTTTATGTAATTTTATGAGTGTTATTTTGTTCTTGTGCAATTTTGTGAGTGCAACCAAGTGTGATAAACTGCAGATCTCTTTGATTGTAAGTGTAGCGTGATAAATTCAAAGTGTAGTGTGATAACCTGTAAGTGTAGCATGGTAGACTGTAAGTGTAGCGTGATAGACTGAAATTGTAGCGTTGTAGACTGTAAGTGTAGCGTGGTAGACTGTAAGTGTAGCATGGTAGACTGTACAGGATAACACGCTACACTTACAGGATAACCCGCTACACTTACAGGATAACCCGCTACACTTACAGTCTAACCCGCTACACTTATAGGATAACCCGCTACACTTACAGGATAACCCGCTACACTTACAGGATAACCCGCTACACTTACAGGATAACCCGCTACACTTACAGGATAACCCGCTACACTTACAGGATAACCCGCTACACTTACAGCATAACACACTTCACTTACAGGATAACACGCTATACTTACAGCATAACCCGCTACACTTACAGGATAACACGCTACACTTACAGTCTAACACGCTACACTTACAGCATAACACGCTACACTTACAGCATAACACGCTACACTTACGGTCTAACCTGCTACACTTACGGTCTAACCCGCTACACTTACAGGATAACCCGCTACACTTACAGCATAACACGCTACACTTACAGTCTAACACGCTACACTTATAGTCTAACACGCTACACTTACAAGATAACACGCTACACTTACAGCATAACACACTACACTTACAGGATAACACGCTACACTTACAGGATAACACGCTACACTTACAGCATAACACGCTACAAAATGAACGAACACGAGGTTCGTTTGATAAAAGAACGCGAGGTTCAACTTGGGAACGAACGCGAGGTTCATTTAAAAAATGAATGCGAGGTTCGACTGAAGTACGAACGCGAGGTTCGTCTGAAGTACGAACGCGAGGTTCGTCTGAAGTACGAACGCGAGTACAGGATAACACGCTACACTTACAGCATAACACGCTACACTTACAGGATAACACGCTACACTTACAGGACCGCTACACTTACAGTCTAACCCGCTACACTTACAACATAACACGCTACACTTACAGGATAACACGCTACACTTACAGGATAACACGCTACACTTACAGCATAACCCGCTACACTTACAGTCTAACACGCTACACTTACAGCATAACCCGCTACACTTACAGGATAACCCGCTACACTTACAGCATAACACGCTACACTTACAGGATAACACGCTACACGAACGCGAGGTTCGTCTGAAGTTCGAACGCGAGGTTCGTCTGAAGTACGAACGCGAGGTTCATCTGAAGTACGAACGCGAGGTTCGTTAAACTTGAGTGCGAGGCTCACCTTAATTCTGAGTGCGAGGCTCACCTTAAGAACGAACGCGAGGTTCGTTAAACTTGAGCGCGAGGCTCACCTTAATTCTGAGCGCGAGGCTCACCTTAAGAGATAACACGCTACACTTACAGCATAACACGCTACACTTACAGGATAACACGCTACACTTACAGGATAACTCGCTACACTTACAGCATAACACGCTATACTTACAGGATAACCCGCTACACTTACAGTCTAACCCGCTACACTTACAACATAACACGCTACACTTACGATCTAACCCGCTACACTTATAGCATAACACGCTACACTTACAGTCTAACCCGCTACACTTAAAGTCTAACCCGCTACACTTAAAGTCTACTTAATTCTGAGCGCGAGGCTCACCTTAAGAACGAACGCGAGGTTCGTTAAACTTGAGCGCGATGCTCAACTGAGAACTGAACGCGAAGTTCGGTTAAGTTTGAGAACGAACGCGAGGTTCGTTTGAGGTAACCACTTCCTTAATTTTCGCCATGAACCCTTTAAGGTTTCAAACTGAAACCGCCGCCGCCAAACCCAAAAAATTCCTCGATTTTTATTTTCAAAATCAGATCCAGAATCGAAAAAGCAAAAGATGATTTCTTGTTCCAGATCCCAAAAAATTGAAGGAAAAATCGAAGAAAAAAATCCAAAAAATTCCAAAAAACCGGTGATTTTTCAGTTACTGTTCACCCGAATTTCTCTAAATCGAAAAAGCAAAAGATGAGTTTTGGATCTTCTAACCTTAGGGTTTCTCTAAATCCGAATTTCTCTAGCTAGATGGGGGTGTAGTAAGTGTAGCGTGTTATCCTGTAAGTGTAGCGTGTTATCCTGTAAGTGTAGCGGGTTATGCTGTAAGTATAGCGTGTTATCCTGTAAGTGAAGTGTGTTATGCTGTAAGTGTAGCGGGTTATCCTGTAAGTGTAGCGTGTTATCCTGTAAGTGTAGCGTGTTATCCTGTAAGTGTAGCGTGTTAGACTGTAAGTGTAGCGTGTTATGCTGTAAGTGTAGCGGGCATGACTTATTTAAATACCAAATTAACCCAACTTAATTGATCACTTTAGTGGGTTATCCTGAAAGATAGCAATACATATTGATTAATCATATGTGCCCACAAATAGATTTATTAGATTAAATCCAACACGCTAGGGTTGAAGAAGGAAAGCTCGGTGAAAATCGCCGCCACATCAGATTTTTTTCTCTCCCCCAATTCCTTCCTCAACCTCGTGAAATCGTAGCGGGTTATCCTGTAAGTGTAGCGTGTTATCCTGTACAGTCTACCATGCTACACTTACAGTCTACCAAGCTACACTTACAGTCTACCACGCTATAATTTCAGTTTATCACGCTACACTTACAGTCTACCACGCTACACTTACAGGTTATCACGCTACACTTTGAATTTATCACGCGTGAAATCGACGAAAACTGCAGCCACGTCAGCTTTTTGCCATATAAACAAAAGTTTTCCCTTTTTTTCTTGCGAACCAAACACAAGAAAAATAAATACATTGGTTTCACACCATTTTTTTTTGCGAACCAAAGCGAAACAATTTATTTCTTGGAAAAGTTTGAAAAACTCAAAACTTGTGTTTTTGTACATGGAAATGTATTTTCCTATATCTAGGAAACGAACTAAACAGCCCCTTAGTGTAATCTCTTCAACCTTTTAATTAGAGCCTCTATTTAGTGTAATTTTCTGTTTCTAGTATGCGCCGTGCATTAAAGAAAAAATATGTTAAAGAGAAGAAGAAGAAGAAGAAGAAGAAGAGAGAAGGGCACATTTGGAATATAAATAGATTTTAATAGTTTTTATAACAGCAAGGTGTTTTGTATAATAGGGAAAAATAATATTGTTTCATAATAAACTGTCCAAGCCAAAGGCGGTGTCATAATAATTACCCTTAAAGTTACAGATCAAATTAGAATTCCATTTGATTATGATCTTAATTCATTTCGTAAAGCTTTTCACAAAAACTGGACTGGCTGCTTGGAATTTTTATAATTAGTTAATTATCGTTTTAAATTAATTTAATTAAATAGGTGAATGCCATATTGGCACAAATATATATATATATAAAACATATTGTAGGTAACATTCTTCTAAATCCTAACGCGCGTGTGTGTGTATAAAACGTATGTTATTTTGCTAGAATTAAGAAGATTAAATACTCAAGCATGCTATTTTGCTAGAATGGTTTTTTTAATGCTTTATCCATGAAATTATTTATTTCTCAAACAAGT